CTGCTAGGTTGTTGTGAGGAGAGTCCTTAGTAAATAAATCTTAAAGCATCACAGAAGAGCTGCTATTGTTGTTATTATCATGATTATCTTTGTTATTCTATATCCCTGTCTCCTGGTACTGGCCTCTTTCCGTGGTGAGCCTCTTGGATCAAGCCTTTGAGGGAAAAATGGAGAGACGACACTGCCCACTGGCTTTCTAAAGAGCCAGAAGGTAGCTAGGTGGCAAAGTGGATAGAGTACTGGCCCTGGAATCAGGAGGACCTGAGTTCAAATCTGGTATCAGACTAGACACTTGACACTTGACACTTGCTATCTGTGTGATCCTGGACAAGTCACTTAACCCTAATTGCCTTGCCAAAAAGACAAAACAAACAAACAAAAAAGAAGAAGTAAAGAGCCACGTGTGGTCTTTGTGTGGAAGTAAGTGAGTGGGAAGTGCTGCATGGGAGTGAGGTGCTGGGGGAAGGAGACTGAATCTCTTAGAAGGATGTTCTATTCAGTGGTAGCCTTTGATCTACAGTGGCTTCTATGGTCACAGTTCCCTGAATGCCCTGAAGAACAGTGTTGGGAGACTAGGGAGTGAGAGTCAGAAAGCAAACCTTCCTCTCTTTCCAGTTCCAGTGCCTGGGGTAAGGGTGCATGATTAGCATTAGGCAAAGACTTATGTCCCAATAACTGGGAGTGGAAAGAAAGGGGCCAAAGCTCAGAGTAGCCCACAGAGCTCCTCCAAGATTGGGGTTTTTTGGGGTCCGCTCTGGAACATGTTCCGGGTTAGTTGATCATTTTATCCATACCCCTGCATCCCACGAGGAAGACCACAAACACATCTAAGAGAAATAGTTGTGTCTTCTAAAACACAAGTGGATCCTGAACTCCCCTCTCCCACTATACACACACTCACTCTTTCTCTCACACACACACATACACACTCAGATATCATGAAAAGTCTTGTTTAGGGGACTCTGGAAGAGACAAGGTGAGGGAGACCCTGGTTGGAGTGGTGCCATTGCTATTGTCCCCTTAACAGTCTCTCTAGGGGCCTTCTCTCCTGGTCATCCACCACCTCCTTCTGGTGCCTCCCACTCTGGACCCACCCTGGGAGCTTAATTCCCTGTGATCACTGTGTGGTCTCTCTTTTCAAGGTCATATTCCCTGAGTCTTGAAAGGTGACCATCTGAGGCAGCATCATGGCACAGTGGGAGGAGCACTGGAGCTGGAGACACAGTATCTGCTCCTACCTGAGTGACACTGGGCAAGTAACTTCCCTTCTCTTGGCCTCAAACATAAAACAAAGAGGTTGGACTAGAGGATCTCCCAGGTACCCACCAGCTCTAATGCCTGTGAACTCAATGATGAGAGAAGCTCACTTTTGGCCATGTGCTATGAGGCAGGACCTTCACCTTGCCTCCCTCAGGGCTGCTGACTTTAATGCTTGTCATATTGTGGGGATGTAATCCATCAAATGGGGTAAAAACCCACCTGTCGGTAATCTGTCCTTAGACTCCAGTTACTACAGGATCCAGTTGCAGTTGATAAGTGTTGGTCTCTTTATAAGTTGGAAGCACATGACTTCTCCCTAACCCTGACGTTTCTACTCCAGCTAAGTTCATTTGCCATTGTCCCTGCTTCCTGGAGGGTCATGCCCTTTCCTTTACCTGTTCACATTCTATACTGGCCAACATCCAGTCCCAATGAAAGTTGACCTACATTGGAATAGGCCAACCTGGAAGCTAGTGAGCCTTTTGTCACTAGTAGTGTGGAGGCAGAGCTATTCTTCATGAGATGTGAAATTGGACAAGGTTATATGTCTAGCTGCTTTAAGATTTACAAAGCACTTTTCTCACAACTCTGTGATGGAGTTAGTGTAAGAAGTGTTATTTCCATTTTACAGAAGGGGAAACTGAGGTTCATAAAGGTGAAATGACTTGACCAGGGTCACGTAACTACTAAGTGTCATCAATGGGACAGTTAAGGTTCTTTTCAGTTCCAGAATGCTGTGATTCCATTACTCTCCTTCCTACATTCTAAGGTTCTGGACTATTTGCTGTTCCTTGAATGTGGCATTCCACCTCTGAGTGGCCTCCATGCACGAGCTGTCCCCTGTGCCTGGCGTGCGCTCCCTTCTTCACCTTAGCTCTTAGGAGCTCTAGCTTCCTTCAAGGCTTACCTCATGTGTGACCTCCGAAAAGGACCTTTTCTCGATATTCCCAGTTGTTATTGTGCACTCTCTGTCTCTGTGTCTCTATCTCTGTCTGTCTCTGTCTCTCCTCTCTCTCTCTCTCTCTCTCTCTCTCTCTCTCTCTCTCTCTCTCTCTCTCTTTCTCCTCAGATTATACTGCTTACTTATTCAAAGGTAAATGGAATGAAGCTTCATGAAAGCAAGGACTGTTTTTCCTTTTGTTATTTGTATCTTCTCCAGTGCCCAGCACAGAGAAAGCCCCTAATTAGTGATGATTGAACTGGGGAAGGGAATAATCATTTATATAGCACCTACTATGTGCCAGGCACTGTGTTTAGTGATTTACACATATTATCCCATTTGATCCTCACAATAGCCCTTCAAGGCAAGTACTTTTTCCTATCTCCATTTAACAGTTGAGGAGGCTGAGGCAGGGAGAAGTAAACTGACTAGCCTAAGGTCACACAGCTAGATAGTGTCTAAGGCTGCATTTGAATTCAAGTCTTCCTTACTCTAGGCCTAATGCTCTATCTACTGTGCTGCCTAGGTGTCTAAATTGACATGATTATGCTTTAAGAGGACCTACAGATTCCAAATGGGATAAAAAAGTCTGCTTTTAAGGGGATACAGGTCAGGGGACCCAATCCAAGTGCCCCAGTGCCCAGGAAAGGAGTTTAATTCAAAGAAGTTCTGTGGGCAGACTCTAGGGATGCCACTGAATTGGACATTCATTTGGTTGAAGAGAAAGCAGTTCTGGCCTAGGATAGAGACAGAGGGAGGGAGGACCCTGTTTCCTCAATGATCGGGGGAGATAAGAGCAATAGTTCTGGCTCGAATGGAGGTAGAAATCAGGGCAGACTAGGAAGGGAATTGTAGATGACTATAAAAGCTGGCTCTGTGGGTGAACCTGTGCCGAAGAAGTTCTCTGAGCTCTGACTGGAGACATGAAAGGCTTTATCCAACCATTGACTTGTATGAAGACATAGATAGCAGTTTATCAGATGGGAGGGTGTCACCCCCTTCCCTTCTGAATAGAGAAGGGACTTATTCTGGCATTGATTGAGTGGAAGGATTCAGGTTAACTGACTTGTGGAAGGTCACATATCTAGTAGGTGTCTGAGGCTAGATTTGAACTCAGGGCTTTCTAACTCCAGGCCTGGTGCTCTATCCGCTGTGCCACCTAGTAGCTGTGTGACTCCATGCCTGTGTGACCTCCAGAAATGGCCCTCTTTTAACCTCAGTTTCTTCATTTGCAAAATGAGCATAGTACTTATACTACCTAGCCCACAAGGCTCCAAGATCATAGAGCAGAGACTGAGAGCTAGAAGAGACTTTAGAGGCTCTCTAGTCCCCTCTGGGCAGGATTTGAACCAGGTCTTCTGACCTTTCATGATCCAGCATGATTTCACTGTATCACACTTTACGGTTTTGGTTCAATGTGTCTCACTTTGAACAGAGTGACTGAAGAAGAGGCAGGAAAACATAGAATTAGGGAGGCCTTGAAGAGAGGCCATTGAAGAGGGAGGTGGCAAATTTTGGTTGCTTAGGAGTATTTCAGGGTCGGAAGTATTGGAGAGAAATTATACAGCTCCTGTGGACTTTCTACAGTAACTCTTGTATCTGCTGCCATGGTCGTTTCCCTAGGTCAGTCCTCCTAACTGGTCTCCTTTATCCAAGACCTTTCCAAACTTATTTCCCCTTCTTCCTTCTCTTATACTCATCCAAACAAGACCGCTCTTCGCCTGCTGTTCTTATCCCACCTTGTCCCATCTTCACATCTTTGCTCATGTGATTTCTCCATACCTGGAATCAACTCTCCCTTTCCCACTTTGCCCTGATATCTTGACCTGCTGAAGTTCCTTTCTTCCTGGTCTAGTTCAACTATCACTTCCTCCATGAAGACTTCTCCGGTGACTCCCCGGCTGGAAGTAATCTCTTACTCATTAATTTTTTGTCACAGTGTGTTGCCTGGACCCCTCTTATATACTTATTGCTCTATCCCTTCTATTATAGAGTTATTTGTGTATATGCCTTTCCCAGCTTTGAGAACAGAAGTAGCAAGGTGTAGAGTGTGCATGAGACTTGGAGTTAGGAAAGTGATGGACTCAACCCCCTCCTCTTATTGTCTTATTGTCTGTGTGATGCTGGGTAAGTCAGCCCATTTGAACCTTAATTTCCCTATTTGTAAAATGAAGCTAAGGAAGTCCCACATTACCATGCATGGTAGTTATGAGGAAGAAACTCTGTAAATGTTAAAATGCTCTAGAAATGTGTACTATTGGTGTTTCTGTATCCCCAGTGCCTTATGCGTGGTAGGCATTTAATACACTTTTGTCAAATTGAATTGAATCAACATAAAATGGGTTCTGCCATCCCTGAGCTCATGAAAGATGCAAAAGTGAGAACACGTTGGATACTGTCTGGGGAATCAGTGTTTCTTGTGGACTGGCAATTATTATGAACTTCCCTCTGGAACAAGCTCAGGTCTTCTCCCTCAGGGTCTCCCAGATCTGATGAGGGACCTGAAGGTTGATGTTTTTGGAGACCAGACTATCTATTCAGCTTCTGTCCCCAGCAGTCAAGGAGTTACCCCTGAGGATTTCTTCCAGCCCTCCCAGAATAGCTTTCTCCCTCTACTGTGTCCTGGTTAGGGTGACATGAGGATCCAGCCACAAGATGCCCCTTCCCCCCATCACTTAGCTCAAAACAAACACATAGCCTTTTTTCTTTTCCTTTCTTTCCTTTTTTTCTTTTTTTTTCTTCTTGGTGTTTTTTCTCCCTGACCTCCACAGCTTCCCCTCCCTTCAATGGAGTATCTGTCCATCCCCCAGGTGGCCCCAGCTCCATTCCTGGTCCTGAGAAGGCAGCCATGGCCCCTTGAGCCTGTGTACTGACCAGGCCTGAGAGCATCTCCTTGACCCCAGGCTCAGTCAGAGGGATGTCTGGTTTGGCTTGCACTTGGGAATGTGGGGTCCGCAGGGCCCCTGGGGGGGCCTGGCCTGAGTACAAGGGTGGGGGCAGGCCTCAGAGTTCAGGCTCAAGCCCAGGGTCTCTGCCCCCTGGATAGGTGGGGGATATAGGTCACATGACTGTTTCCCTCTCCTCCTCCAAAAGTGGAGGGGGCTGTTCCCCCACCATTGGCTCATAGATTCCAGAGCCATTGAGGTACCCGTCATCCTTGGTGCCAGGCTCTGGGCCAGATGAAGGCAATGAGTTCTCAGAAATGGAGCCGTGTTTCACATAGCCAGGCAGCTGGTGATGGCCATTGGCATTAGCTCCAGCCCCAGGAGCTAGTCGTGGGCTGAGGGACAAGGCCAGCCCCCCTCGGGGTCCCACATTGGTGACACTTGTGTGCGAAACCATGGGGCCATAGCTGTAGGTGCTGCTGCCGCTCCGGGCCTTCCGCTTGAAGTCCAAAGCCAGGGTCCATCGGCTCCATGACTTCTTGATCTCTGCTTGTACCTTGTGGGGAAGGATGAGAGACAGGAAGATCCGCCTCAATGACCCTCCATTCTCAGTGTATGGAAAGAAGTTGGCTTGGGGGTCAGGAGAGGCCTGAGTCCGAATTCTGCCTTCGGCATTCACTAACTGAGTGACCATGAGTAAAAGACTCAACTTCTCATTGGGTTAATAATACCTATACCTCCTACTCCACAGGCTAGTGGTGAGGGTCTAAGGAGGTCACGTTCCTTAAGTCACTCTAAAAAGCTTAAAATTGGGTGCCTTGCCTGGACCTCTGCTTTGCAGCTAGGTGGCTCAGTGGATATAGGGCTGGGAGTCAGGAAGGCTTGAGTTCAAATCTGGCCTGAATAATTTAGTAGCTGTGTGACTTTGGGCAAGTTACTTAACTGCTGACTGCCTCAGTTTCCTCAGCTGTAAACTAGGGGTAATACTAGCACCTACCAGACCAAATGAGCTATTTGTAAAGCACTTAGCACAGTACCTGGCACACAGCAGGTGACTAATAAATGTTTGTTTCTTCCCCCCTTCCTTACAATTCTTCCTCTTGTCATGTTTGGTACACATACTGCATCCCCCTGACAAGTCTCTAAGCTCCCTGAGGGCAAGGGACATGGTTTCATAATCTCATTTCATGTTTATTTCCACTGGGCAAGCAGAGGGCACATTCCAGGGATGGGGCAGGATTCACACTTACCTCTCCATTGCAGAAACAGTATATTATGGCAACAAAAAATCCCTGGGGAAAGAGACAGAAAGACAGGAAGGTCAGGGATGCCTTGAATAGTTTTCTCAGAATCTCTACTGCCTGACCCACCTCCCATCTCTCTAAAGCCTTCCACTTCCAGGAAGACCTCCCTGCTAAGCTGAGTCGAAGCCCCATGTCCAGAACATCCTTCCCAGATTTAACTACAGCTTGGGGTAGGGAAGGAGTAAAAAGTCCACCCTATTTTTAAAAGTTCTCCAGAGAAGGAAGATTTCAGCACCCCCTTTTCACTCCGGGTTGGGATCTCAGTATACTAAGAAAGCAACGGGAAATTCTCTCCCTGTTTCCAGTAATAGAGTGGGACAAATGTAATTAATGACATTTTACAAGATAATTCACAAATTGCATTTGTCATATTGAATTAGATTTATTCCCCAACTTCTGCCCCTTTGCCCCCTCTGAAAATGAAATTACATCTCTTGACCACTAGGGGGAATTTTTATGTAGAAATTGTATGTAGTCTGTGAAACTAAGATTGTAAAAGTTGGAGGTGGGGGATGGGGGTAGGGGCAGTTGGATGGACATTTTCACGGGTGCAAGTCATTATAAAATGATGGATAATGGCCTGCAAATTTCACAATTGACAACAACTAGTTTAACTGGCTCTATGAATCTTTGACAGGCTCCTGGTGCTTGTGTAAGACTCAACTTTGGGGGCAGCTAGGTGGTGCAGTGGATAGAGCTCCGGCCTTGGAGTCAGGAGGACCTGAGTTCAAATCTGACCTCAGACACTTGACACTTAACTAGCTATGTGACCCTGGGCAAGTCACTTAACCCCAATTGCCTCACCAAAAAAAAAAAAAGCAAAAAAAAAAGACTCAACTTTGCTACTGCAGAATAGAAGAGTGTTGATTTCTTTTCCTTTTGGGAGGTTGTACAGGATTGAGTACCCTGGAGGAAACTCCATCCTTGCAGGGTCTGGAGATTGTCCTGGATACTACAACAGTTTTCCAGTTGGTCTCCCTGCCTCAAGTCCCTTCCCACTCCAGTCCAAGTATGGTACAGGTCTGACCATGTCACCCCATACCCCCCATTCAATAAACTCCAAAGACTCCTTCCTATCTTTAGGACCAAATATAAAATCCTCCATTTGGTTTTCAAAGCCCTTTGTAAACCGATCCTTTCTTCCTTTCCAGTCTTCTTATATCTTACTCTCACTGATGTACTCTGCAATCCAGTGACGCTTGCCTCTTTGGCTGTTCCTGGCACAAGGTATTCTGTCTGCTGTCTCTGGGCACTTTGTCAACTGTTTCAATGCCTGGAATGCTCTCCCTCCTTATTTCTGACTCCTGGCTTCCTTGGCTTCCTTCAAATCCAGCTAAAAATGACCTTTTGCAAGAAGCCTTTCCCAATCCCCCTTAATTCTAGTGCCTTTCCTCTGTGATTATCTTCAATTAATCCTGAATAGATCTTGTTTGTACATAGCTGCTTTCATGTGGTCTCCTCTATTAGACTGTGAGCTCCTTTGAGAGCAGAAACTGGTTTTTGCCTTTCTTTGTATCCCCAGGGCTTAGCATATCGTAGGTGTTTAATAAATGCTTGTCAACTTGTCCCAACTTTATTCTTGTGTATGAAGTTGTGTGTTTGCCATGAGGGCAGCTCCTCAGGCACTGGTCTAGTTTCCTACCTAGGCAGGTGGGTTTCAGCTTGTGTCACTGCCAAGGCATCACCACCCTTCCAGTCACCCAGGTTTGCAACTCCCTAAAGCACAGATCTGACTATCTTGCCCACTTCCCTGCTGAAAAAAAAGACTTTAGTGGCTCTTTGTTGCCTCGAGGATAAAATATAAAATCCTCATCATCTTGGCATTGAAACCTTCACAGTCGGATTCCAGCCTACCTTTCCAGACTTAGATAGAGTAGTATTCCCCTTGGAGGGTTTGAGCCACCTGAGTTTCCTTCCCTCAGATTCCACTTTGTGCTTTTGCACTGGCTGCCTCCTCACTCTCCCCATGCCTGGAATGTTCTCCTTTCTCACCTCCTCTTTTAGAATTCCTAGCCCCCTTGGCCTCAGCTCAGGTGCTAGCCTCTTCAAGGCCTCTGATGATTCCCCAGGTAGAATGCAAACTCCTTGAGGGCAGTTTAATTTTAATTTTTCTGTTTCTGTGTTCTCAGGGCTTAGCAAATTGCCTTGCACAGACTAAGTAGGTAATGAATTGTTGAGTGTTTTGTGGCTGAGAATATGATTCTAACACACCTCCCCCACCACCCACAGTTGCTTCTGTGAGTTATTGGGGAAGGCTGCAGCTAAGCTGGCCTAGGTGTGGAACATTTATAGTCTTAGCTCTATCAGCTCACCCATCAGATCCTCTTTTCTACAGCTAAAAAAAAAACCCACCTATTTACTACTGTTTATACCTCTGTACCCTCTCTGCCCAAAACTTCTTATAGAGCTAAGGGGTGGTGTGGGATGTGTGGAGGTTGGGGGCCACATGTTACCCCCAGATTCCCCTTGGGTCCCTCAGTGCAGTCTCTAGTGGACCTCAAGTACTGCCTGATTAACCACATTTCTGCTATAAGGGGGCAGAGGATTTATGGAAACAAGAATGGCAAAGTGAAAGTTTGGCTGAATGTGCCTGCAAGGATGTGCTACAACTCATTGTTAAATTTTTGCCATATTGACATCTAGGAGATTGGCAAATGCTACAAATCAGGGCTTGGTTTATTGTTCTGCTGATTGCCCAGACTTAAGAAGGTGGTGAACAAAATGTTACCGCAGTAGATTAAAATTTAAAGTGTCACACATTTTCCCAAGAGACAATTGTTAAAACATTTACCAGTCCTGTCCCTACTCCGCAATAGGCCAGTGATCTGCAGTGCCCAAGGACCCGATGGCCACACCTACCTGGAATGAATTGAAGAGCATTTCATAGTGCATTTGGATTTGCCAAAGAATCCCTGATACGTCTGTGTACGGCATGGCCATGAAGACGATGTAGTGCACCCCAAACAGCGGCATAAGCACTAGTGTGGACTTCAGCAGCTTTCTGCAAGAGGAGGTGGCTGGTCAAGGTCAAGGTCAATATCAAGGTCAAGATCAACCCTTCCTCCCTCTCCATCTGTAACTTTGCTTGTCTTTCAAGACCCAGTCCAAGTGCATTCTCCTCTAGGAAGTTTGCAATGTAGCAAATGAAGGGCTGGGGGTTGGAAGAGGGTCCTGATTAGGGCCACTCATGGGGAGATGAAATATGGGGCAAAGGAGGAGGCTCACCTGTACTGTTGCCTTGTGTCACATCTCCCTGCATTGGTCTCCCGGAGTTTAGTAGCTAGTACTCTGATTATATTGATAAAAAGAATAAAGTTCACCTGTGGGAGAGAAAAAATGGAATATTCTAATTTAGGGAGAAGGGATTTCCTAGTTCTTTGTAGCTGGGGGAAAAGGGACAGCCTTGTGGACCCTTTCCCCTGGGAGAAAGAGTATCAGGGGTCTGATTTCAATGTACTAGAAGAGAAAGAAAGCTGGTCTTGGGAGTCACAAGTTCAAATTCCAGGGTTGACACTTAGGAGCTGTGTGACCTTGGGAAAATTGCTTAATTTCTCTGGGTTTCAATTCTTCTATCTATCAAATGGGTAGTTTGGACAAAATGCCTCCATTCCCTTCCAGGTCTTACATTCTGTGATGCTGTGGGACATGTGGAACTCCCGGGGAAGAACACTGCCTGCTGCCCTTCCTCCTACTTATTCTACCTCCCAAGCATTGTCTCCTTCTGGGTCCTAAAAGTCAGATCTCCCATGAAACCTTTCCAGAATATGCCAGTATGTCAAAGACCTGTGATTTCGTTGGTATAGGAATACTCAGCACGAACTCTATAACCTTATTAAATACTTGTTGAGTAGTCATGCTTCCTGAGTCTCAGAGAGGAAGAGAGGTCCAAGATGGACTCTATCCACAGTTATATAGCTAATTAAATGCCAGAGGCAGGATTTAAACCTGAGTCATCCTGACTCCAAATTCAGTACTCTATTCATTATACAACACTGTAGTCACCTTCCACAGGACCAGAGGGATCAGGCTTGGAGAGGCCTTAGATGTAATTTAGATATAATAATACAGGTATAATTTAGTTCCTCATCTTCATTTAACAGATGAGGAAACTGAGACCTAAGAATGAGGAAATATGATAGATTGATTGAGAAGACTGATGAGAAAGCTGACTTGCTCAAGATCACTTGGCTAGTAAAAAGTAGGACCTTAAACATGAGTTCGATTCCAAATCTTCTGTTCTTTCCACTGGACCAGTCTTTTCTATACCCTCTGCTTTCTCTAGCCTGCCTCTTATACTCAGAGCCTGGGGAAAGATCCAAAGAGGGGCCATCTAGTCTTTATTGTTCAGTTATTTTCAGTTGTGTCTGACTCTTCATGACTCCATTTGGGGTTTTCTTGGCAAAGATACTGTAGTGGTTTGCCATTTTCTTTTCTAGCCCGTTTTACAGATGAGGAAAATGAGGCAAACAGCGTTAAGTGCCCAGGCTCACACAGCTAGTAAGTGTCTGAAGTCAGTTTGAACTCAGGAAGATGAGTCTTCCTTACTCCAGGCTTGGTGCTCTATTTACTGTGCCACGTAGTTGCCCATAATTGGATAGATAGACCTACATGCCTGGTTGGCATGAGATTGGTCAGGTCTTCTGTTGGCAGCTGGGCTGTTGCAACAGCTTTTTAACTGAATCTCTTGGACTCAATGGCCTTTTCTATCCAGCATGTTCAGCACATCCCACCAGGATACTCTCAAGTGAAATAACATATGTAAATTTCTCTGGAAACTTTAAAGCACTCTATAAACATCAGCTATCACTGTTATGATTATTCTTAACAAGCAGATGGCATATACTAGATGGTCCTTAAGACCCTGCACCTCATTCCCCCCATGATTTCCTCTTTTTCAAAGATTTCCCCATGTCCTTCTCTCCATCCCCCAATCCCCAGGTCTCAGCCTGGCATTCAAGGCCTTCCATCAGGAATGTGCTGGTAAATGTTTAATAACTCTCAAAAAAAAAAATCTGCAGGCCATACTTTTAAGTTCAATCTGCATCATTAACATCTTCTCTGTCACTATATTAAGTCAGCACAAAGCAATAAATCAAGCCCTGATTTGTAGTTTGCTCATTTCTAAGGTGTAAATAAGTATTCACACTGAAAATTTAACAACTGGCTGGCTCCAGCACACCCCTGGTGCCCCCAGGCTCCATCTTCCTTATATCACATGACTCCTCTTTTGAGCCCTTTACTCAAGTCAGGCCAGACTCCTCATTATCAGTCCCTCCTAAGTCCCAGTCCTCCAAAGGCCCATTCTTTGCCTCTCTCCTGCCTACGGCTCAATCTGTCCAAATCTTACTTGTCCTTCAAGTTCCTCTGAAGTTTCCCCTACCCATCCCACCCACCATGATCTCTTCCTCCTCAGAGCTCCCACAACACCTACTCTCTACAGCCCTCACTTGGCCGTAGACACAAATGAACTAGAATTGCAATGGTTTTTTCCTGAGTGTAAGTTTGGTTTCCCTATCTAAAATAGAAGTACCCTGAAGAAGGGAATGTGTGTTTCATATGCCAGAGTTAGAAGGCACCCCAGACACGTGTCTGGTCCAACTTGTACCTGAGTAGAGATTTCCTTTGCAACATCCCTGACAAATGACTCATCCACCCTCTGCCTGGAGGCCTCCTGTCACGTGGAGTTGACGACTTCCCTCTGGTGTCTTTCCTCATCTCTGTATACAGCTCGTTTGTGCATAGTGGTTTATTGTTTCCCTCATTAGAATTAGGAATTGTCTATTACCTTTCTTTGTATTCCCAGTGTTTGGCATAGCCTCGCATGCAGTAGGCACTTAATAAATGTCTATGGATAGACAAATACAGAGAAGACTGGGCATTTGTGGGCAAGAATGGGGGGGTAGAATTGAAGATTGCATTCACTTAGTGCCTGGCACATAGTAGGCACTTACTAAATGTTTATTTATTGATTGGTTTAGGTGAATCAACTTCCTAACAAGACCCCAGGGCTGGATAGCAGTTCGTTTGAAAACAGGATTTGGGGTTCTTAGTGGATGACAAGCTTGCTGTGAATCAACAGTGTGATATGGTCACCAAAAAAAGCTGATGTGAGGTTGAGCTGCTCCAAGATTAGCACAGCTTCCACAAATGATGAGGTGCTAGCCCTGTCGTCTTTTACCAGAATCAGATCATATCCCAGAGTACTCTGTTCTCGGGGCACCATATTTTTATAAAGGACATTTACGAGCTGAAGGGCAAATAGAATGATCAAGGATTTTGAATCCATTTCATAGAGAATGGGTTGGAGGAACAGGGAGGAACCCGAGAAGAGAAGGCTCAGTGATGAGTGGGACAACATGATAGATGTGTTGAAAGGCTGCCATGTTGGAGAGGGATTTTACTTGTCTTGTTCAAGCCTAGAGGATGGAGCTAGGAGCCATGAGTGAAAGTTACAAAAAGGCAAGTGTAAGTCTGTTCTCAGGAAAAACTTCCCGGCTATTTTAGAGTTCTCCCCAAATAGCATACTCCTTCTCCCTGGTGACTTTCCAGAAGAGGCTAGGTGACTACTTGTTGGGTGGGTTTATAGAAGGGATTCTTTTCCCCACAGTGGGCTTGACTAGCTGGCTGCTGAGATCCCTTCCAACTCTAATTCTGGGGTTCAGTTCTCCCTGAGGGCATGACCTGTATTTCCCCATCAGACCAAGGCAGTTTGGTCTCTCCATCCAAAATGGAAGCTCCCTGAGGGAGGGTCCATGTGATTCATACACATCTCAGATGAATACAGGTGGAAGGGATCCCAGACTCCATTAGGTCCAACCTGTACAATGGTTCCAACAGCCTTGAAGGCCAGCAACATGTTTCCCACACAGGTTGGAGCTCCTTGAAGGCGGGGGCCGCATGCCCATGGACCTCCCTCCTCATCCCCCAGGCCCTGCTCACCACAATAGCTGCCAGGATGGGCACCTGTATGATCCACTTCTTATTCCCCGAACTCAGGTCCCAGCACCTGGGGAGACAGACAGGCTCACTGTGATCAGCCCCCAGGGGCATTCCTGATGGGTTCCCCCCACCCTGGGCACAGATCTTCCTTAGACCACTCCTCTAAGTTCCATGCTTAAAGTAGCGTGTGCAAAGTACTTGGAAGCACCCTAATTTGGTGTCTATAGAAGGCCCCCACCCTGTTAAACCACCCCCTGAAGTATCCTTCATAGGGGACATAATTGGCTTTCTGATGCTGGTGTCATAGGGTATGGCCTTGGAACCTAAGACAGTCCTGTTCTGAGGCTCCCCCCAAAACTCCAGGGCCCGAAAGACCCCAAGGGAGGCCCCAGACTTACTCGGTGTTGGCTAGTGTGGCCCTCACGATCACCCACACAGCGACAAACACGGCAGGGAGGCCTGGGGAGGAGAGCAGAGAAGAAATACAGAGAAGAGGAAAGAAGGGAGGGGAGAGATATAGAGGAGGAAGAGAGGAGACATATAGAAGAAGAAATGAGAGATGCAGAAGAGGTGGAGAAGACAGAGGAAAGAAGAGACAGAGGAGAGGAGAGGAGGCATGAGGCCCCGGCTCTCCTACCCTCCCACCCTTCAACAGTGAGTCAGCCCATGGTAAGACCCCCCCCTTTCCCTTTCCCTGGCCTCTGAGCCTTGATTTACGTCTTTGAATACAGATGGAAGGCACAGGAATGTCTAGAGAGGGAAGAGGGGTGGGAGGAGGAGAGAGTATATATCAGAGAGGAAAGATGAGGGGGAGAACAAGGATGGTAGGGAGGAGAAATGCTGACATTGAGACTTGAGGAGAGGTAGAAGAGATGTGAGAGATGGCAAGATTAGAGAGGGAAGTAAAGAAGAAGGGGATGGGAGATGGAAAGGAATCACTGAATTGCAGAGTTGGAAGGCAACGTGGTGACTATCTAGTCCAAGATGGCACAGAGAGACAAGGGAGGGAAGAAAAATGAGAATGGGTGAGAAAAATGGTGGATGGTGAGGGTAGGGAAGGAGGCAGTGTTGGAAGGGATGGGAGTGAAGGTCTGGCATAGGCTGAGGATAGCTGGTCACTAGGGCGGGAATACCCAGAGGTATGAACTCTGTGGGTTGTAGCTGCTCTCCAGTCTCAAAATGGGGGGGTTCTAGGAGTTGTGGTCTCCAGGATCAAGACTATTTTGATGACTAATCAGAGAGCATCCGGCCTCCCTAAACTAACACTTTGTATTTTGTCTCCAGCCATTGTGTCTTTGCACTGATTTTCCTCCATCCCTGGAATGATGCTTTCCCTGTTAGAGTCTCTGGCTTCCTTCAAGGCTAAGTTCATGTGCCATCTCTCCTGGGCAGTCTTTCCAGTTTCCCTAGTTGTTAGAGTTGTCCTCTCCTCATATGAACCTCACTCTATGTATCTTTTTATATGATGCATCCTCTCAGTAGACTGTAAGCCCCTTGGGGGGTAGCAGTCATTTAATCTTTGTATCTTGAGGACCACTTTACATATAGCAGGTGCTTAGTAAATGCTTGCTGGATTCTATTGGACTGGAAACCTGTCTATTATGTGACCCCTTTTCCTCTGCTTTCCTTTCTCCTCTGCTTTCCCCTCCCCCTTCCCTTTTCACTCCCACTATGTGTCTGATGATGTGTATGGGCACATACTCCATCAGGTTTAAAGAATTCATCCTTCTCTTCCCGGATTTCCTTGTTTTGGTTCCTCTTCCAATTATTGGCTGTGAACCTTGGTAGTTACTGTCCTTGCTAGCATATCCTCCTTCACCCGAAGGCCCAGGTTATGCTCGCTCTCCTGATCTGAGCTTCCTTGGTCCCTCAAAGAGGTAAGGAGGGGTCTTTTCTGTCTGGCCTTCCAGGTCCACCCCTTGGCTTCAGATAGAAGCTGTATCCACTTGAACTCCAGCTCAACAGGATCTCTTTTTGATGACCCACTCAGCTGTCCTGCTGTACTTGCCTCTCCTCTGATTCAGGAATGTGGCTTTCTGCTCAGTTCCCCTTATCTTTGGGTCTTTCTCCCGGACTCTTCATCCTCTTTTCAACTTCTGAACCCCTCAGTTTTCCTAAAAGCTATCATCTCAGCACAAACTACCACATTATTGAACTGTCTCCCTTACCCTACCTCGAGCACCAGCAGCCCAGATGGTTGGCTCAGAGGTCACCTCTGCCAGGTTCATATAAATAGGGGGAGAAAATCCTAATTTAGCACTTAGGGAGCTAAATTGTCCTGGTGGAAGAGCTGTGGAGAGGGAAGTGGCCCTATATACTATCTGTATGGTCATGGTATTTCCTCTTCTGGGCCTCAGTTTCCTCATCTGTAAAATGAGAGGGTTGAATCTCATGACCTACCTACGGACCCACACACCCTGTCTCAGTGCTGCTGTCTTTCCTAGAAGCACTTTTGTTTCCCAGCCCCACAGCAACATTCATTCTCTGACAGCCTGATCTCCACCATTAGTTCGTAATCATCTCAGTGGAGAACATAGCTACTTGAAAATTCACACATAAAACTCACACAAGTACATAACATACAAACATAAATGTACACACAGATAGAAAAATGTATACTTATACACATGTGATATGAACACACCCATACACCCATGCACACAGATACACCTAGTCCACATGGGCATGCATGAGATCCCACAAACATATGTATACAGAGCCACATGCATGCACACTCGGCTGCTCTCATGGTTACAAATGCACACAGAGATACAGACACATGCATGCGCACATAGATTCAGATCCTTATATACATCCTTACACATCCATATGCACATACACAATTACTCCCCTGTGGGCACAGAAAGGGTTCCCTGGGTGGGCACTGATGCTGTCAGTGACTCTTATAGTATCCACATTGTATGCGCTGTGCATAGTAGTGAAAACACACAGTGTGTACAATGCAGGTTCTATAAAGTCAGGTGTGTCCCCCCTCAGGGCTCGCCCCTGTGGTCTCATTCAAACAAGTGAGGCCCACACACTGTGCTAGCATGGCCCAGCCAATACTACACATCACAGCCAGCACCATCCCCCAACAAACCCTGGTAGCCTCCCATCGGGTCTCAGCTCAAGAACCTTTCCTGGCTCCTTGTGGCCCATCTAATCTCAGGCAAACTCCTTGGCCTGAACTTTAATTCTACTGCTGTGAGCTCCCCAGTATGGTCAATGGATATACTTCACTGGGCTGACCATAGTCCTGGTCAGAAGATCACACCTTTATATATTCTATGATGGGCAAGGGCTAGGCTTTTGCCAGGTAGCTTTGTGCTAAGATCCAGTGACCACTGGTCTCCCTGAATTGAGTGAAGGTAGTGGGGGAAGAGATTTCTGGAGGAAGTAGAAACATACAGCCAAAGCCACTACGCTACCATAAGTATCCAACTGTTAGGAGTAGCAATGATGGTGGGGAGGGAGAGAGAGAGGGAGGGCACAGCCACCTTAGCAGATAACAGAATAACAGAATTTTTAGGGCAAGAAAGGGCCTTGGAAATAGAGTGGTCTGTAGGGAGAACTCAGGTCTTGTACTTTTCAATTTAGGATTCTCTTTCTCCTATACTATGCAGTTTTTTTATCCCTCCATACGCCTGCCATTGTTGGGGCTGCCTGCTCATAATGAGCTGGTCCAGGGTGTGGTGGGCAGAGTAGGGTACCCATTTTGTAGAGGTGCCACTAAAGTCTGTGTATTCCTATGGAGATGGGGCTGGTGGGGCTCCTCTGGGAATTCCAGTGGTCTTGATCACAGGCTGTCAGATGGATGGGTGGGGAGAAGGGCTAACATCCCAAATTCCAGGAATATCTTCTGCCAGAGACAGGACAAGAGAACTGCTAGGCAAGGGCTAGACAGGTGTCTCTGGTCATCATCTGCTGACCCCTGTTTTCTGGTTGCAGACTGAGTTCTGACCCTAGTCACAGATTAAGCTCTGGAGCTGGCCTCGTTGGAGGTTGGAGCTCGAAGAGACTTGAGAGTCCAACCCCCTCATTTTACAGATGAGGAAACTGAGGTTCAGAGTAGAAGGGATTCGCCTGCTGAAGGCAGAGCTGAGCTTGACTCCAATCTCAGTGCTTCAATCCTGCAATGTACCCTGTCTCTTTAGTCCTCTCTGTGGCAGTGACCAGCTCTTGCGCCCTGGTCCCATACTCATTTTCTGTCACATTTCATTCCCACAAGTGCTCCTGCTGCCTGGGGACAACCAAGTGATTCTAGGTCTATGTGGGTGACTGCCTGAGGCTCTTGTATGTGGAGGCTGGACAGACAGTGTACATGAGTGTGTAAGAGGAATTTCCTGGTGTAGGAACAGAATTATGAGGCAGCTACAGGACAGGCATGCAGGGCAGATATAATGTGATACATACATGCACAGGGAGTTCTCACGATGCAGTTATATAATCACATACATGCATAGAGACATACCCAGACACATGCAGACACAATGTATACATCAGTCTATAGAGCTGCAAAATGTATGTATGCTCACATGCAGATACACGTGCTCTCACACACCAAAACAAAAATATACACATACCTTCCCTCACAGACACACAGACACACACATACACACACTTGCACACAGCCACAAGCAGGCACGAATGCACATGGATAGCTGTATTAGGTCATTGCCAAGAACAAGATGGGATGGACAGGTGGGCCTTTAGCATCCCAGTGGACGTACCCCAGCCGAATAACGTGAAACCCCAGAGATACTTTTTCTCAGAGAAAAAAGCCATGAAGATGAGGCTGTGAAGGTATAGGCCTTCCACCAGGATCCAGTAGTAGTTGGTGGTCAGGAAATAAAGGAAGACGGTTACTGCCACTCTGCAGCCCACCTGGATTGAGAAGAGACAATGGGCAGGGAGTTAGATGGAGTCGGTGGTGCTCCCAGGGCAACCTTGTCTTAATCTACGCCCCAGGTGGAGAAGTATTCTGTTAGCACTGGAAGTAGTCCTCCATGGACAACCCAAAATGGGAGGAGGCATGTGCTTGGTGCCCCTCCGTATTTCACTTCCACCCTTAGAAGACTGAGCCACTTGCTTATATCTGGTTACGTTCAGGCTAGTGTATAAATTACTTTGCACTTTCATGTGTTTGTATGTTGGGGGTGAAGTTAGTGTTTGGACCTCTGAAAAGCCTTCTGGGGTACACTCTTCTGTGGGAGGGGCCAGTAGTGGGGAGGGACACTGAAAGTGGGAAACATAAGAGAGGGAATGTCTAAAGGGGCAGCAGATGAGGATCTGGGGGGCACAGTAGTTGGGCTGGGCAAGAAGGGATGAGACGTAGGCTGGGGCCTGGGACACTCACTAAACCCGCCTTATCAGTAGGGGGAGACTCCGGGAAGGCCCTCAGCTCCTCCTCAGTGATGCGCTTGATTTCGTCTGGGGAATCCCCTGAGTAGAGCACGGCATCCTTGATGAAGATGCTTATGGCCCGGAGTATGAAGGACACGAAGAGGTGCATGTGAATGTAGTTTCGGGTGCAATGCAGCCTCCTGGAGGGGGCACAAGGAACAGGGCATCAGGTTAGCGGATGCTCACAGTGATCTACAAGTCACAGGAAGCGCTGACCCCTTTCCTGCTCTGTCCTCTCCTCATGTTCCAGGTCCCCTTGTCTTTGTCTTTGCTGAGCATAGGGGAGAATGAACCATTTCTGTAACAATAACAATGGTAATAGTAGCTCCCATGTCACTCGAGATTTGATATTGACATCCTCTTTCTTCTTCATTAATTCTGTGACATGGGTAATAGAAGGATCATTGTCCCCAATTTATAGGTGAGGTTCAGGAAGGTCAGTTAGTTGCTTTTTAGCCTCAAAGTGAAGGTTGGTTGGCCTCCTAGAAGAGAAAGTGAAAAGGCTGGAGGACCAGAGGATCAGAGCTTTAGAGCTGGAAGGGACTTTAGGGGTCACCTAGTCTAATCTCCTCATTTTATATATAGAGAAACTGAGGCCCAAAGAGGTTAAGTGATCAGCACACATCCAAACAGGGATTGAGTAGCAGAACAGGGAATAAAAGTTATATCCAGATAAGAAGAAAGATTGATCTACTGGGGGAAATGATGGCTAGCATTCCAGAATAAAAAAAATTCACTGGTTTTGGATCGTCTATGCATTGCGTGGATGATGGAAAGGAGACTGCATATTCTATCTTATTTGCCTTTCAATAAACTGCCACCTAAGTCCCTGCCCTTATGCTCATCAAGTTCAGCATCACTGAAGTTGTTTGCATCAGGTTGATGAAGCTGCCATTAAGTCCTGAGCTGTTGAAGGCTGGGCCAGCAGGGCAGAAGCATGGCTAATTTCCCACCAATTTGGAAAGGTTTCAAGGACAGGCTTGGGGATAGAGTGTCAGTCTGTTACCTGAGGACCAGCCTAGCTAAGTTTGGGAAGGGTGATCACCACAGGGAGAGATTTATTTTGGTCATAGAAAATGAATAATTGTCTATTGAGATGTACTCTTTTATCCCATGACACTGGCCTCCTGCCTCTGAGAGATCCTCCGTCTCTCAGCTCTGGGCATTTTCTTTGGCTGTCCCCTGGGCTTGGAATGCTTTTCCTCCTCCACCCAGACTACTGATCTCTTTAGTTTCCTTTAAGCCTTCCTCAATCCCTCTTAATTCCAGTGTCTTCCTTCTGTTAATTATTTCCTATTTATCTTGTATATAGCTCATTCTGTATATATTTGTTTGCATTAGATTGTAAGCTCCTTGAGGGCGGGGACTTTCTTTTGTCTCTTTTTGTATCCCCAGCACTTAGCACAGTGCTTGGCACATAGCAGGCACTTAATAAATGTGCATTGATTGAGTGATTGATCGATTGGGAGGTATATTATGGATTCATAGGATTATTAGAGTTGGACGAGACCTTAGAGTTCATCTGGGCTTTGAGACAGGAAGGCCCGGGTTCAGTTTCCATGTTGGATTACTATCTGCATGTTAATCTTTCTGTGACTCAGTTTCTCCATCTATGAAATGAGGAGGTTGGATTAGATCTCCTCTGAGGTCACTTCCAGGATTAACTCTGTGATCCAATGAAGTCCTCTCACTTTATGGATGAAGAAATTGAGGTCTAGAAAATCTGAGTGACTTGCTCATGGTCATACAGGGAATGACTGAGAAATTCTCTGAATTCTGAGAGAGAACTGAGATTCAAAGCGAGGTCCTCTGTTTCTCAATCCAGAGCTCTTCTCACCATGCCACACTATGTTGGCAGAGGAAATGACTCTCCTGATGAAATCCCAGATCTTTGGAAATACTGTGGTATTGAAGTAATTCTATTAATAACAATGATAATAATAGTAACAACTGGAATTCATAAAGCACTTTAGTAACAAAGCACTTAACATCCATTATGTAGATAAATTCGTGGGTCTAAATGTACAAACCACATTCACTCACTGAGGAGAGAAAACAATGGGCCTGAATTAGAATTCAGTTGAGTTTTACATTCTTTTGCTTTTCTGAATTCTCATCTCTCTGCGGTGTCCCACCGGCCCTTGCATCCCCAAATGCCCCAAACTGGGCTTCTTCTGGGATCACAGGACTGGAGAATGTCAGAGCTAGAAGGGACCGAATTGAACCACTGCTTTGCCTTACTCATGATTTCTTTCTTTCTTTTTTTTTTTTTTAAGAAGGGGGAGAGAACTGACTATTATTCCAGGCCTGATTCTGACGAATAAGGGGAAACTTGTTGCCAGAAAAAGAAATTATAGGACCCTCAGGAGGAAGTGACCTCTCCATCTGAGAGTCTGTAATAGATGAGAGGAAAATCAGTCCTACTGTGATGGGAACCTTACATTTTTGGAGTACAGTTTTCAGAGATCAGAGAAAGGGCAGTTAACATCCCAGGGCCCAAAATTCTACAGGGCAAATTCACCTAGGAGACAAGGGGAGCTCTGAAGAATGCCCACACGTGCTTCCAGAGTGTCTACTCTCCCCCGGAATCTACAACCCGCCTAGCAAAGATGGAGATGGGATTGTGGTTTCCTACCAGGCACTATACATACTTTCTCGGTATTTTCCTCGGTCCTGCTCTCAGGCCACACCCCATATCATTCCCTGCTCTGGGCTCCTGGCTCCTTGGTTTTTCCCTGTGTCATTATCCAGTTGGGTTCTGGGCATCGAGGGAGTGGGAAATGGGGGCCTCTCAGATCTTAGTAACTAAGGCTTCGGCGCCTTACCTAAAGTAACCCAGGATCAGCACAGCCACGGTGAGGGAGCCCAGAGAGGTGGAGTAGCCCACAGTGTACATCATTCCCAGGCGATCGAAGACTTCCTGAAGGTCAAACAGAAAAGAGTCAGTGGGAAGAGGATAGCAAGGGCCTCTACCAGTCCATATTTAGGGTCACTGTGGGGAAAGTGTGCTGCCACATCGAGATCAGCATCAAGGAAGGAAAGAGATAAGAGTCTTGTCCTCAGGGAATCTTTTGGCTGAGAAGGGGGAGGCATAAATCCTGCCCTAAGGGGGCCTCTTGTCTAAGGAAGGGGGTAAGGGAACCAATGCAGAGATTGTAGACATATAACAGTATATTTATAACACACATATAGTTATGTATGTAAATATGTGTGTGTATATACATGAATGCATATATTCTTACACATATAATATGTATTGTATATATGCACATGTGTGTATGTGTACACATGCATGTGTGTGTATTTGTATGTGGTATATACATACATACATACACACACATATACACATATAAGATGTTAGATTATCCTTATCAGGAAGGAGATGGGGGTGCAGGCTGGACGCCGAATGGCTTGGGGAGACGAGAGGCAGGAGGAATCAATCAGGAAGAGGTTCCTGGAGGAAAATTTTGAACAGGGCTTTTGTTTTGTGCTCATTTCTTATGTTCCCCTCAGACAAGGGGCTCCCTGAAGGCAATACCCTTATTTGCCCTTTCAGACTGGGGACTAGTGTTTCCCCAATACCTCCAAGAACCAAAGAGCAACTCTAGCAAGGTGGGAGCTGGAGCTGGGGGGTTATCCCCATTCCCTCGCCTGGTTGGGTGCAGTTGCCCCCTCGGAGGCTGGCCCGATGCCTAGAGCTGAGAAGGAAGTGGCTGATGTCACCGGGCCTGGATCCCAGTGCTTCGTCTTGATCTCAGGTTCTGGACCACATGTGAGCCAGGGCTCTCTCCACCTCCCCTGTCCAGTGGTAGCTGAGCAGCCCTTCCTGGAAATCTCGCCACCGGCCAGGCCAGTGCCAACATAAGGGGCTGGGAAAGAGGGAATGGGAGTCTGGCCAGGTAGTACTGGGGCACTGGGGGAAATTTCATCAGGGAAGATGGAGTCTATAAACTAGAAGGCAGAAAGGGCAGATGGGGTAACCCGACTCAGCAGAGACTCTCCATAGGTAGAGTTTCTTAGTTTAGCGTCCTTGATCTGGGGATGGGGATGGCCCCCCTCTGAAGGGGCAGTTTGGAGGGAAGGAAAGACAAACAGATGGACAGAGACAGCCCTCTCTTCTGTCCATACCTTTGCTGAGATTTGCTCCCCTGATTGGAGTGAATGACCCCGCCCCCTCCATCTTCTGTTGAAATCCCTCCCTTCTTTCAACTTAGATGCCTTCTCTTTCATGAAATCTTCCTTGATACAGGTCCCCCTGAAGTCTCCTGTCCATCCCGTCCCACCCCCCTTTGCTGGAGGTGATCTGTCCTCACATCTCCCCCTGGGATTTGCCCAGACCTTTCATTTTCACTTATTTCAGCTTCCTTCTATTAGAGTTTTCCATGTAATTATCCTTCCCCCCTGTTCCCCTTGGAATAGGATCTCTGTCAAGTTTATCTTTCATCTCCCCAGCACCAAGCACAGCACAGCTATATGATAAATGTTTACTGAATTGGCTTGAGGCAGATTCTGAGATGGAAAGATTGAGACAGGGACAGGGAAAGAGAAAGGGGGAGACATATAGGGACAGCAGCAGGGACAGAAAGAGGCAGAGAATGACAGAGACGGAAGATTGATGAAGGGACAGAGAGACAAGGACAGTCAGAGAAAAGGTTATACACCCAAAGAAACAGAAATAAAGTAAGTAAAAAGGAGGGACACCCAGAGGGAGACAGAGATATTAGGCCAAGATAGAGAGGAGAGGCAGATAGAGCTCAAGAAATGTTGAGTTTGGGAGGGGGAAAGTTAGGGATAGAGAGGAGGAGGGGAGGGGCCAAGGGACTGGCAAAGAAAAGCTGGGGAGGTGGGGCAGGCCAGGGCCACGCCAGCGGCTGGTAGCTGTGTGATGCTCATTAAGGACGACGCAGCCTGAATGCTGAGCGGAGGAAAAACCAAGCTGTTGTTGTTGGCTTCTTGCCCTGCCCCAAGCCCTCGGAAATAAATCAGAGGCAGGAGGCCCAACCCCGCCTGCTTGCCTGGCCACCAGGGCCTTCCCGTCAGGGAGAGAAGAGGGGGGCTGAAGCCCAGCCACAGACTGGGAGGAGAGGAATGAATCTGTTGTCCTGGTCCCCAAAGCAGGCCGGGGAGGCCCCTTATCCCCCTCTTCCCTTCCTATTTCATTTCAGTCACTTTTCCCTGGCCTCTCCACAAGGGACATGAAAATCCCCATTGTGTGTTCCTTGGCAGGCCCTGCAGACTGGGGTATCAAGGGGTGTCAGCCATATGGGGTTGGAGTCTACATCCCCTAGGCCTCTTCTATGAGTACAGGTGTTGATTATATTGGCCAGTTATCACCTTGGAAGGCCCTTTGAGCAAGTCCTGCCCCCTACATCTGGCACTTATGGTGGGTTCCAGGCTCAGCTCTGATGTTTACTAGTTCTGTGATCCTTGGTTGGCTGATCAACCTCTGATCTGGGAGGCAGGGATAATCACACTTCTTATCTCACAAAGTCTATTGTAAGGAAGACACTATAAATCTGAAAGTGCTAAAGGAAATGTGAGTTATTGTTAAGGACAGAAAGAGAGGGACAGAAGAAAAATAAAAGGGTAAAGGATTAAGTTTTGGGGTTACCCTGCACACACACACACACACATATATACATACTTATACATACACATATATGTATAGATGTATATCAGTGTATGTATGTATGTGTGTACATATCTATCTTTCTATCTATCTGTCTTTCACCTTCCCAAAGGATTGAACGAGGAAGTGAAGCTCTGGCTAGAACTGGTGGGATTGAGGTCAGACACCAGGAAGAACATTCAGATGCTTATTGGGGAATACCATGAATTATAGTTATCCGTCTTTGCATCTTATCCCCCTACCAGACTGTCAGCTCCATGAAGGCAACAATGTTCTTACCTAAACTTTCTGTCTCCCTCAGTGCCTAGAACAGTGTTTGGCCTCAATGGTTAGAGAATGTGAGGCTAAATGGAGAAGTAAATGGTGGTGGTGGTGGTGAATTCACTCTTTCTGGGAGAGCTTAAAGAATAGGAGAGACTTGACTATGTTCCTAGTACTGGACCCCAGTTCAGTCCACCCCAGCCCATTTGTGGCTGTGCTAGTCACCATGGGAAAACAGAGAAATGATGAGATGGCCACTTGTCAGCCCAGGGAAGGAAAAGTGGAGGAATAAGGCAGGAGCTTAGGGCCAGCTCATGGTCTCTTTAGGGTTCTAGGGGCAGTGCCAAGTCCAAAAGGCAGGGCAGAAACCTTGGCCCAGGAAGTTGGAGCTCTGAGAACTATCTCCCAGGGACCTTGGGAGAAGGTATCACTACCTCTCCTAATGAGTAGATGTGTAGCACATCATCTTTTTCTGATGCAAGGGGATAGAGTTGACCCTTCTCTTTCCCACGATCTCTATGTCATCTCACTTTGGTCTCTGCTTTCCTCTGCTTGGGTGAAGAGAGGGACAGAGCAGCCCCTTGGTTTTCTAGGCAAACTACAATGTCCCCAGGTTTCCGCCTTTATCGAATACTCTGGCCCTTTGTAGGTAGGGCTGGGAGTAGCTTTGAGAGGGATCCTGGGGAGGGTGGGGAGAGGGGGGCAGGGGATTAGAACTAAGTGTCTGGGATACTTTAAACCTCTAAATAGCCTCTCACCCAACTGTCTCCAACTTTTATTTAACTCATTTCCTGTCCAAGAACTTTCAGTAGCTCCCCATTGGAGGATAAATTCCCCCCATCCCTTAGTCCAGCATTTGAAGCCTTTCATAATTTGGCCCCAGTCCTCCCATCCAGTCTTCTTTCTCTGCATCCCTTTACTTGAGCTCAGCTGCTGCTTTCTCTACTTGCCCTATGCATAGGTCAAACTAATTTCTCTCCCTGTATTTTTGATTCCTCCCCCTCCTCCCTGTCCCTACAGGGACCCTTCTAGCCCTGATGTTCAATAAGGCCCCTTCCGAGGGCCCTCCCAGCTCTGACATTCTGGGATTTGTTTATCTTTCTCCAATTACTTTGACCCTCACTGAGTTCCCTCTTTCAAATTCCTTTCTAGCTAGAACCACAAAATTTCCCAGTTGTTCATACATTGTCTTATGTGTTCAATATGCATGAGTTTTAGACTGTAAGTTCTTTGAGGACAGTGCTACATCTCCCCCTTAGGTTAGGGGCTCCATCAGGGTGGATCCTGCATCTCTCCTTCAGATCAGAGGCTCCCTGAGGTCAAGAGCTGCATCTCTCCACTCTGTGAGGGGAGACCTGAGTTCAGGGACTGAGCTGTCCAAATGGACCTTAAGTGACCTTTGGGAAACTTGGTTCATAGTTGGTAAGGGACAGAGGAACAAGACACGGTTGTCAGAACCCTGGAGAAAGCGAGGGGGAAGGGTCAGTGAGGGGCTGGGGAATCCTCCGGATTCTGAGCTAAGTTCCCCACTGGGCATGGAGGGAAGGTGCCCTAGGCTTGGGTCAGAGTGTAGCACAGAGGATGAAGACATAAACACGTACCCGGTCCCGGGTTTCGTTGTTCAGAAACTTGACACACTCGGTGTAATTCGCCCATGTCAGGTTGTTCCCAGGCACCAGCTCCCAGCTGCCATTGCTGTCACAGCGCCGATAGGCTCGGCCTGGCCAAGGAAGGGAGAAGGGACAGGAGGCCCTGTGGGTGAGGAGATGGGCCAGCAGGCAGCTGGGACCATTCCTCCCCATTCCTGGGGAATAGTCTTCCTCCAGAAAGCCTTCCCATATGGTCATTGCCTCCTCAGCTTCCCACTCTCCCCTCCTTGGTGAGACATGAAAGAAGGCAGAGTATGTCCTGCCCAGTAATTCTGAGGGGGTTCCAGAAACTGCCTTAGTTATGGGGACGGGTAAGCTGGGAAGGACAATGAGGAAAGGCTGAAGACTGAATTAAGGTGAGAGAGGATACAGGAAAGAGAACGGGAGGGGCTGAGGATGAGAAGGAAGAGGGCAGAGGGAAAAATGCCATGAAGAGAGAGGAGAGAATCAGAAGGACTCAGAAAAAATAAAAGGCAAAGAGAAGCAGCAGAAGGGAGGGAAGAGACAATGAAGAGAGAACTGAAAAGAGAGGAAAGGTGAGAGGAGAAAAGCTGCAGAAGAAAGGACAGAAGGATGAGATAAGAGGAAAGAAGACAGAAGGGAGAGGTAAGGAGAATATGAGAAAGGAAAGAGGAATGACATGTGGAAAGAAGATTGAAGGGAGAAGATGGGGGAGAAGAAAGAGAAGATAGAGGAGGGAGGATTAAGAAGAAAAAGGAGAGAGAGAAGAGAGAACAGAGAAAATAGGAAAGGGAAAGAACAGAGTGAGGGAAAGAGGGGAGAGAAGGGAGAAAGAAAGATGAGAGGGAAGGGAAAGGCAGAAAAGTCACTGAAGAAACCAGGTCCCAGATATAGTCATTCTGTGCCCGTGGACAAGGGAGGGTTTCACACCTAGACCTCTGAAGCTCCCTTCTGGCAGAGGTGAAAGCTGGTAGCAGGGCTGAGGTGGGTGTACCTTTGTGGTTGAAGTCGTAGATGTAGTCAGGGCAGGGCACGGCCACCACCTTGCCTGGCACTCCAGCAGGCCAGCACAGAATGTTGTCCCACTCAGGTAGGCAGAAGCCATCTGTGGGGGCATAGATACTATTGGAGACCCACGTGGCCAGACACATGGACCAACGTCCAGAGGCATTCCAGTGAGGGAAGAGAGCTGGTTGCAGGCCAGGCCCAAAGTCAAATGGCGTAGTTTGCTCTTCAGCCCTCCTTACCCTCTACCCACTGCTCACCCGTGGCTTGACTCAGAATCTCAGAATGTCAGAGCTGGAAGAGACCTAAGGACATACTATCAGAGTTGCAATGGATCTTAGAACATAGAATGCCATGGCTGAAAGGGTCCTCAGAACAGAACAAGAGACTGTTAGGGCAGGAAGGGACCTTAAAACATAGTGTATAGATTGTCAGAGGCAGAAAGGACCTTAGAACAATAATAGCTAATGCTTTAAGGTTTGCAAAGTGATTTACAGATATTTTATCCTCACAACAACCCTGGGAGGTAGATGCTTTTATTATCCCTATTTTATAGATGAGGAAACTGAGACACAGAGAGTAACTTGCCCAAGGTCACACAGTGAGTAAGAAGCTAGGTTTGAACTCAGGTCTTCTTGAATTCAAGAACAATGCTCTATTCACTGTGCCACCTAGCTGCCTCCTAAGAGCAAAGGCTGTCAGGATTATAAGGGGCATTATGAGCACCTAGAACCCAGACTGCTGAAAGGGACCTGAGAACCTAGAATTTTAGAGTAGAAAGGAGCCTCAGGGATTATGAAGTTCAACCCTCTCATCTTACAGATCAGGAAACTGAGGTTCACAGAGATGTGAAGTGATTTGCAAGCTCACATAGCTAGTTTTTTGTAGATCTGGAGTAGAATCCAGATCTGACTTTCAGCCGAGGGCTCTTTTCCCCAATAGAAATACCCCTCTCCCCCAACTCATCTAGGGTCCCCAATGATAGTTCCTCAGATCCAGGCCTTCCTTCCTCTTCCACCCTGCCTTGGCCATTCTTCCATCCCTTGCCAGCCTAGCTCACAGGGAGCTACCATGAAAAACAAGACCATACTAGAAATTAATGTGTACTTGTGTTGATAGCCGAGAATTGCTTCAAGTGAGTGAGACTTTCTTCTCGAGGGCCCCTGTGTAGCTAGAATAAGGACTCCTATTTCTAATAGCACGTTAAGGACTTATAACGTGTTCTTTCACCACCACTCAGTAAGGCAGGGAGGTCAAATATTAGAATTCCCATTTTATAGATGGTGAAATTGATACCCTGAGAAAGTAATATACTCAGGGTCCCACTGCCAATAAGTAGTAATGCCACAATTCCAGTCAAAATCTCCTTGTTTTAGATCATCTGGCTGCTCTGCCTCTACAGGAAGTGACATGGCCTGGGGTTCAGAAGTCTTGGGTTCCAGTCTAGGCTCTGCTGTTTGCTGTATAGCCTTGGGTAAGTCCTTTACCCTCTCCGAGACTCCCCAGTTTCTATCATTTAGTAATGAAGGCCTTCACAAGGAAGTTGTTGGGATAGAATGAAGCATCTGTAATTAGACATTGCTATTTTTTTTTCATAGAGGACCCTAGAGAGGGAGATGCCTTAACCCAAAAGAAGGAAACACTAATGGTAGACACTCAGGCAGTAGACCAGGCTGACAGGAGAGATTTCGTGGGTGCAGAGGCCTCCCTGGAGAATTTCCCACTACCCAGAGTAGATAGCTGCCTCCCTCCCTGTAGTCAAGGCTGATTGGGTTACACAGCTGCTATGTGACCCCAGGTGGCTCATGAACTCACCATCTTGCTTGCTCCATTTCCACTGGGGGGAGTCCTCCCACCCCAGGAAATGCCTCTGACCCCTCTCCTAGCCTTTTCCAATAATCCCCTCTCCTTCCCACCACAGGATACTAACCGCTGGATTGTTCCCCACCCCACCCCCACTCCCCAACCTGGAAAGAGGCCTTCACAGCCGGCCCCCATGAAAAGGAACTCTGTCCTAGGCCTGGTGCATCCTCTTGGCCACATCCCTTCCCAAGGCTCCCCCCAACTCCTGTTTCCCAAATACCTCACCCCACAATACCCCCTTGTCTCTTTGACACCCCCCCTGCTGGGGGGAGTGTGTGAGGGATCCTGTGGCCTGGGGAGGGGGCCAGGAGGATGGGAAGCCACCCCAGGTAACCACTGCTCCACAGATGTGGCTGCAGCTGGAATCTAGCTCCAAAAGGCCACTGGGCACCAAATGACCTTGAGTTCTGCTTTCTCTACACGTCATCTCTCCCTCACCTGTCTGTCTTGCTCTTTGCCTTTCCTCTTTGCCTTTTTTCCTCTCTTTTTCACTCTTTTTTCTTTCCTTCCTTCCTTCCCTCCCTCCTTTCTTTCTTCTTTCTTTTCTCCCCCATTTCTTGCTCTCTTACCTGTTTTTTCTCATTTTCTCTCTCTCCCTTACACCTCTTTTCCTTAGCCTCTTTCTCCTCATTTCTTTATACAGACCTCTTTTTCTTTCTCCTCTCTGCCTTTTTCTCCCACATCTCTTGCTTTCCTCACTTTTTCTTCAATTCCAGATCTGCATTTTTTTAGGGTTCCTGGCTATGATCTACCCCTTCTCCTAGCCTATTTTCTTTGGATTGTGGATAGGAGGGAGGGAACTGCCTTGGCTGGGAACAGGGCTTCCTCAGCCCTTTCCCACTCTCCTCCCCCTGGAACTATGTCCCTTTTCTGGGCCTTTTCTCTTTCCCAACCTGGGCCAAAATTTTCCCAGCTGTCCTTCTAGGTCCCAGTGCTGCTCCTCTCCCTCTTTCTAACTTGAGATCTCTTCCAGGGAGGCTTTCAGGATTAATCGCATGAGGAGTGGCCTCTTCCAGCTTCTGAAGGCTGGCTCTCTCTTCCCCTTCTCCACTCCCAAATGTCCAGATCCTTGAAATGTATTTAAAATCAATGCTTCCACTGAATATTTGTGTTTCTATCTTAACCAGACAAATCTGTTTGTCTGGTCTATAAGCTGTTCCCTGCCCCCCAAATAGTCTGGGGACCAAATCTGTGCCCCCTGCTCTGTCAGGTTACTCAGACTGAATCCTGGCTCCAACACTATGTGACCTTGAACAAGGTATTGTCCATCTTTGGGGCTCAGTTTTCCCATCTATAAAATGATTGGGTTGGAGTCAGTGAGTTCCAAGGTCTCGTACATCTCTAACAATCTACAGATTTATGAAGCTTTCCCACCCTTTGACCTCTCTGCTTTCTTGACTCTTCTCCATCCTTCCTATTCCAGTTCAAGGATCATCTCCTCCAGGAAGTCTTCCCTGCAGACTTCTTGGAGTCCCCATTCCTATCCCTTCTTATCCCATGGAGCCTGATTGCTTCCAACAATGCCTTACGCCTCCTTTACTTTGCTTATTCACCTATTTTAAGCAAACCCAGGAAAATACTAAGTGATCAGTCTTGGGATTTTGGATCTGTGAGGGACCTCAAAAGATCACGTACTCCCAACCCACCATTTTACAAAGGGGGAAATGAAGGTCCAACAGAGGGAAGTAAGCTGCCCAAAGTCACAGAGCGAGGCCGTGGCTGAACTGTTACTAAAAGCGAAGTGTTCCAGCTCAGTCCTTAGCTCTCTCTCCTATCCCATATTGTCTTATATCTTTGCTTCCTCTTATCACAGGTCAGGTTACAATTAGATATGCAGAGAAGTTAATAAAGAGGCGAGGTGGCAGAAAGGGAAGAGTCAGGAACTGGGTGCCCCAGTGGGAAGCCTTTCTGAGCCCTCCTTGCCCACCTGCCCTGGGGAGACAGTGGCTTATGGGGATGGTACCTACCCTGGCGCCGGCTCCCGTCAGAAACTTCCCCAGCCTCCTCTGCCTGGGAATAAAGCTTTTCTGCAGGTTTCTCCTTCTTTGCCTTTCCAGACCTTGACATCCAGTCTTTGGCTGATTCAGCAAGTTCTGGCAGATAAACAAGGGGGTGCGTGCATGTGATTATTCTGCACAAAGGCTCTAACTGGCCTCTTTGTCTCCCCTCACCCCAAACTCTACTGGGCCCCCCCATCTGATTGATATGAGACTACCTTCCCAAAGGCAGGGGGTTGAACAAAATGACCCCATAGCACGTCAGAGAAGTGTTAGACCCCACTGAGTGTGGGTCTACTGATGGGGTGGGGTGGGAGTCAGTAAGCATTATGGCTGTAGAAAGGCTTCCGATTAGTTGCAAGGGGGTAGGGATGGATTGAGAAGCAAAAGTAAACCGAGGCAATGATGAAGTCAACCAAACTCCTGTGTCAGTTAAAGAGCTAAAATCTGTGTCCTTAAAAAAATGTTTAGATCACTTGAACATACAATTGATCATTTAATTAAACCGAGTAAAGGGAATGAGGGCAAGGTTAAGGAGAAAAGTGAAGTTAGAGGTTGCACGTCTGTCATCAAAGATCAAGGGAGCTTGAGTAGAGATGAAATCCATAATAGGGCAAAGAGGATTCCAGGGATGGGCTCTAGGCACAGAACTGAAGAGTGGAGGTATTCCGTGAGCTCCTCCCTCCTTCCCAGATGCCAGACCATCGATTAAGAGGGCATGGAGATGGGGAGGAGGCAGATCTGTTTCAGGCCTCAGCCCAACTCCTGCTCCCCTCTCAACTAAGTATTGCTCTTAGGGGATTGGCCCTCTACCTGCTGGGAAAGAGGCTCCTTATCTGAGACTTCTGCTCCCAGGCGCGGGGTAGGGAGGTCCTGTACATGGGGATGTCTGAGGATCTCCTTCCCCACCCTCTGCATGGAAGATTCCCAGCTTCTATCCTGGCTGGAAAGGACTTCCTCACATCTGACTCAAATCCCTCTCACTACAGCGTCAAGGCTGCTTCCTCTTGCTGGGCCTCCAATATCTGGAAACCATTGGGATGGCTGGGATGCTGTTGGATTGGCTAGGCCCTGGCCACAAAGGGGAGGGGGAGAGAGAGAGGGAGCAGGAGAGGAGAAAGGAGAAGGGAAGAGAAAGGGGGAAAGGGAGGGAAGGAGAGAGAGACTGAGAGAGGAGGAGGGAGGATGTGGAGGAGAGAGAGAAAGAGAGAGAGAGAGAGAGAGAGAGAGAGAGAGAGAGAGAGAGAGAGAGAGAGAGAGAGAGAGAGAGAGAGAGAGAGAGAGAGAGGGGCACACAGGGAGAGTCTGTCTAGACTGGTGTGTAGTATTTTTAAGCTGCTATTATTGTTCCTTCCCTTTTGCCTTGAGCCAGGTGGGGAACACATTAAAAGGAGGGGGGTGTTTCAGGGAATCCCTGAGTAGTTTCTGCTGGGGGAGGGACAACGGAGAGTTGAGGAGGACGTTTGGGAAAGGAAGGCGATGGGCAAAAAGTCTGGCAGTGGGCAGGCTGACTGGGGCAGGAATGAGAGGGGGAGGGTCTTTGGATGGAAACTGTGTTTGTAGAAGAGCTGAGGAAACTGGAGTGGGTAGGGGAGGAGGAAAATGGGGGGAGGAGTGTGAGAGGTAAGAAAGAGACAGAAACAGAAACAGATAGACAAAAACAAATAGCAAGGAACAGAGACACAGAGACACGCATAGACAGAGAGAAAGAGAAGGGTCCAGAGGGGATCTGTCTGTGTGTAGGGCTTGTGTGTATAGGGATGCATATGGTTGTGGGTTTGTGTGTTCAGTCCAGATGATGGTCCACAGCTGAGAAATCAAGGTGGAAGGGGGGAAAGTCAAGGCTCCATCCCTGACTGACAAGTTATCCTGCCCCAGGCCGAGTCCTAGCCCTGGTCACAGACAGAGCCCTGACTCCAGCCCCAGGCTGAGTCCTGACCTCTGTCAAAGACGAAGCACTGACTGACAGTCCCTCCTTCGCCATCAGACTTCTCCCCCTTTAGATTCTCAGAGCTGGACCTCTTTCTCAGAGAACTCCCTTTCTCTCACAACTCAACTTACACATCCCTCCCTTATATATAGGATACTCAGTGGAGGTGGGGGAGAGGAGGGAAGGGAGAAGGAGAGGTAGGTATGCACCAAACCTAGGTCTGGGGGAGCCCAGCCCAGCCCAGCTGTGTGACATGAGCTTCATCTCAGGACTATCTTTAATCTAGCTAAGCCACCTACAGCAGAACAGGTCATAGGCCCTAGTCTAGGAAAGGGGAATCCTTGTCTTGACCCTACTCTCTCAAGTTAGGGGTGCCCTGAAGGCAGAGGCTGGGGCCATCTCCCCCCAGGCCAGGGGGCTCCGCCTCAGACCCAGGATTCACTACCGGCAGAGGCTGTGTTCCCCTGGCGCTGCCCCCCCCCCCGACCAGGGGGCTCCCACTCAGACCCAGGATTCACTGCTGGCAGAGGCTGTATTCCCCTCAGACCAGCGGCTCCCAGAGGACAAGGGGCGTGTCTCCCTCTCTGCCCAGGGGCTCCCTGTGCGTTCCAAAAAACTGAAGGAATGATTAACACTTGGCTTGGCAGCTTCTTCTCTTCTCAAAAAAGAAAACCCTAGAGCTTGAATGACCCATGTGCCTCCTTGATAATGGAAAGTGGACTCTTGCTGTGGAAGTCCCTCGCTTCAGGTGACAGGGACATTGACCTTTCTCCCTTCTTGTCATATTGGGTACTATGGATTTCCTCACTGCCCCATCACCTTCTAATACCCCCTCCCCAACCAGTCCCTGGGGGGCTGGGAACGGAAGGGAGGAAATAGCTGTGTCTGTCTTCTGTTTGGTGGCCTGGACACCACTAATAATATTAGAGAGACAAGAATTGGTGGTTTTAATGGTGCCTAATTAGCCCCAATCAGTGCTTCCTGGAATTGTAGTCTGGGCCCCTTAGGGAGCAGAGAAAGGGGAGGAAAGGAGGAGATAAATGGGCTGGAGGGAGTGAGGGGAGCAGCCACTCAGGGAGTCCTCAGTCTGAGGGGAGAGACAAAGTCCTTTCCCTAGCGGAGCCTCTGCAAGGAAGGGGAAGAATAGGCCCCTGCCCTCTGGGAGCCCTTACTGAGTGAAGGAGACAGGACCCTGCCCTCAGGAAGTTACTGGTGTGAGCTGAGCAAAGTTATGGGCCCATCTAGGGTAGGGGATGTTTGTACTAAAGTTAATGAAGGAGGAGGCTTCCAAATCTCAGAAGGAGTTCGATGAGTATGAAGACAGTAAGACAATCTTATTAGGATTATTTGGAAGGGCTCCAGAGGACAAACCTAGGGCTAAGTAGGTAGAAGTTACAGGGAGGCTGATTTTGGCTGGGTGTAGACACAGCTGCCTAACGATGTGAAAAGAGTGTACTGAGCCGCTCTGGGACGTGGGAAGTGCCCTGTCAGAAGAAGGGTCCAAGTAAGAGCTCAAGGATCCTTCTATCAAGGAAGCTGTCAAAGGGGATTCCCACACTGGTTTGTCCTAAACCTCTAAGATTCCTTCCAGTTCAGAGACTTGGTGATTTTATTATTCCAAGGCTCTAGAATATTTTAAGATGCTAAGTTTATAATTCTAAGAACCCACTGTCCAGGGATGGCCTTAATTTGCCACAGGAAAGGGTCCCAGCAACAGTATCAAGTGGAAACAGCTTTGGCAGGTGTTTGGGGACCTTTCTGTGAGCTGGAATCCAATGCCATCCTCCCCCAGCCTTGTATAGTAGAAAGACCCTTGGACTTGCTACCAGGAAGACCTGAGTGTGAGTTCTTCTTTGATACCTAGGAGATGTGCCACTGTGGGAAAAATAGTTAGCATCCCTGTACCTCAGTTTTCCCACCTGTGATATGAGAAAAATAACATTCCATGCCTCCCTAATCAACCACTGAGAGCATACTCTGTTAGAGACATTTTGTGAGCAGGAGTCTGAGCCCTTGGATGTGACCTTTGCGTGGCCTATTTGGAGATACCACACACACACACTGGCCTTTTACCCCCTCCCCACATCAACCACAGTAGATTCCTTTACTGGTCTCCCCTGCTATTCTTTTCCTTCCCAGGAGGTTATATTCACATATACCTACCCCAACAACAAACAAAACAAAAAAATCCACGTACAATAGCTCTCACAAAGCCACATGCATACACATACAACCAGACACGATGCAGCAAGTGATATGCACACACTTACATGCAACCCTCCCCCCCCAGCTAAATATGCAGCCACACATGGAACATCCACATGGAAGAAGACTGAGGGGGAGATGCCCTGAACAGGAGTTGAAGTCCTGTCCCATTCCAGTAAAGGCAGGTATCTGGAGGCGGACTGTATCTGGAGGGGGACTGAAGAGAGAAAGCTCTATCTGAGAAGGGGCTTCTCTGCCGCCCAGCTTTTGCTTTCTTCCTTCTCCTTCCCCTGCAGCAGCCTCAGAAGTGTGGCACAGAAGAAAGAGCTAGCCTCTTAGCGAGGTGTGTGTACATGAAGTCCGCTGTCATGCTGCATGCTGGGAAACTCCTAACTCACCAGAGACCCTGAGTACCTCCTTGACCAGCTGCTCGCACTGGGCGTGGGCATTGCGCAGGAGGACGATCTGATCCTCCTTGGTTACAACGTCATCGACATCCACCTGTGGCGAGGAAGGAGGAAGAAGGAGGGGTAGGTTAGATCACAGGCAGGAGAAGGCGCCGGACCCTTTTTCTAGCATCCAGCGATGACTTCCCGCTCCCTCCCTTCTTCCTCCCTGTCTTCAGCAGATGCTTCCTGATGGGAATTCATCGCCTCTGTGGTCTGGAAGGTTTGTTATAATGGGGGTTTTGGGCTAGGAGTCAGGAAACCAGGGTTCAAGTCCTGGCTTTGATCCATCACTGGATGAACTTGGCAATCCCCGTTACCCCTCAGAGCCTTGTTACCTTGTCTGTGAAATAAGGAGGAGAGTAGGGGCAGTCGAAATGATCCCCCAAGATCCCTTTCAGCTCTATTCATCATGGCATTGTTTTGTTTTCTAAGGATCCTGCTTAATTCCTCCTCTATTTAGTGTTCTGTGGTGTCGCAGAAAGAGTATTAAATTAAATGAAGAAGAGAATAAACATTTGTACAACATCTATTATGTACCAGACACTGTGCTAAATGCTTTAAAATACATCATTTCACTTGATCCTCGCAATAACCCTGGGAAATAGGTGCTATTATTATTCCTGTTTTACAGTTGAGGAAAGTGAGGCAAACTGAAGTTAAGTGACTTACTTACGGTCATATAGCTAGCATATATAGCTATATAGCTAGTCTGAGGTTAGATTTGATTTCAGGTCTTCTTGACTTTAGGCCAACCCTCTATTCACTGGGCCACCTAGCTTTAACTTCTGATTTTGCCACTTATTAGCTGTGAGGCCTTAGGCCAGTAATTTCTCCTTTCTGAGCCTCAATTTCCTTCTCAGTAAAACTAAGGGGGTTGGATTCAGGGGTTCTTGACTGAGGTTCTCGCAATTGATTTTTAAATTGAAGATTATTTTGATGGTTTTCAAGTTGTAATCTGATATATCATTTTATGCATTTAACAACATTATTCAGAGAAGGATTCCCTAACCTTCAGACTGCGCAGAGGGGTCCAGGACACAAAAAAGGTTGAGAACCTCTGGTTCAGATAGTCTCTAGAGACCTTTTGTTTTCCATGACTAGGTGACATTGACATTCTAAGGTTTATATCAACTGGGTAAGGTGGCTAGTGCAAAGATGATCATCCCAATTTTCCCGGGGAAACTGAGGCTTAGAAAAAGATAATATGATCAGTTGAACTAGATGGCCTCTAAATGGCTTTGCTATCCAATGATTCTCTGACTTGTCCAAGGTCATACACAGCTGGCATCTTGGTCTTCTGACTCCTATGCTGGCATATTCCCACTACCTCGTGATACCCCTACTGTCTCTTAAATGGGACATAGAGAGTTATTGGGCGGGGGGGGGGGGAGGAAAAGGGGAAAAGGTCTGTCTGGTCTATTATTGCCAATCAACCCTGGAGGACTCTTCTCTAAATATTCTCCAAATTCTTCCTGCTTATTTCCCCAAGAGGCATCAAGGTGGTGCAATGGATAGAGTGTTGGATTTTCAGTCAGGAAGACTTGAGTTTGAAACTCTGCCTCAGATACTTACTAGCTGTATGACCTTGGGCAAGTCACTAAACCAGTCTCAGTTACCCCATTTTTGAGGATAATAATAGCACTCACCTCCCTGGGTAATTGTGAGGATGAAATGGAGTAACATATATAAAGTAGTTGCCAGCCTTAAAGTGCTGTCTAGATGCTAGCTATTATTATTATTATGTCTTAGACCTGACCATGCTGCTTCCAACCTCAGCAGCTTCCAGTGACTGCCTTTTCTACCATAAACAAATAAAACAAAAAACCTTAATTGATACCTTTAAAAAAATACCGTAGCATTTCCTGATACCCACCCTCCCTCCCTCCCTCCTCCCCACTATACTGTTAAACTCTTCCTGGAAAAAAAGAAAAGAAAAGAAAAACATTTCAGGAAAATTGACCCACAAACATGATAGTGTATGTAACATTCAGCAGCTATAGACCCTCACCTTGCTGCATTTTGCAATTTCCCTCTCGTTTCTAGGGCTTGAGTGGAGAGACCACTTCCCCCTCTTTGCCCTAATCTATAAGGTTTGATTCTTAGGAATTACTCCTTATTGGATTAAACTGTTTAGATTGGGAAGAAACCTTAAACAATAATAATGTCAACAGAACATATGGCCGAAGTCTAACAGATTCATTTATGGGAACAGAGGGGTTCATGAAAATGATATGAGATCAGGTCATTTCTTACTAGAAATTACAGAAAGCTCATTCTTAAGGAGTCCAGGCTTAATTTATTGATGCAGACTTTGCAAGGAAATAGTAGAAACTGTTCAATCTATCACAGCTGGTTTCAAAAGTGTAGTGCCTACTCACTACCTAGCAAGACTCTTGAGGTCCCAGAATTTATCTAATTCACTAGGGACTCTACTGCCTTTTCTTTCTGAATTAATACAACTCTACTACAAATGCCAATCTCAAAGTAGCCTTGAGAATTCTACAAATAAACTACTGAAACTGGAGTATTATCAGAGACAAAATGATCTCTCTTGTCCCTCCCAAATATGACACTGACCCACAGAAATTTCAGAGCTAGCATCTTTTTTTTTTTTTGGCTAGGCAATGGAGTCAAGTGACTTGCCCAAGGTCACACAGCTAGTAAGTGTTATGTGTCTGAGTCTGAATTTGAACTCAGATCCTCCTGAATCCAGGGCTGGTGCTCTATCCGCTGTGCCACCTAGCTGCCCCAAGAACTGTCATCTTTTAATAGATGCTGCTATACTGAAAAAGAGTAACCTCCAAACTATGTGAAGTGAAGATTTCTCAAAATACAGAGACCTAGTGAAAGCCTTCAAACCCATGAGAGACTGGAATGAGGTAGATATCAAACATACACATGGTCCTGTCTACTGCGTGAGTGATCCTAAGGAAGCTTTCAGCTCTTCTAATACTACATCTTAGTACTTTTATTCAATTATTTAAAAAATCAATCATTTTATCCACCTGTGCAACAGTCCTGTAACGCTAAGTAATAATGGCTAACATTTATATAGAGTGTTAAGGTTTGTAAAGAGCCTTACAAATATCTCATTTGACCCTCCCAACAAACCTGGAAGGTAGCTGGTATTATTATCTCCATTTTACAGATGAGGAAACTGAGGCAGGCCAAAGTTAAGGCACTTGCCTAGGGTCACACACTTATTAAGTGTCTGAGGTCACGTTTGAACTCAGGTCTTCCTGGGGTCCTCCAGTGCTCTACCCACTTCACCACCTGGCAACAAAAGAATAATACCAGGAGAGCAATTTGTCCCAGGATCATTTCTGTCTGAGCTCCATTGTATGAAAAGATGAGATTGAGATCCTAGCCTTAGCTGATCTTTGTAAACTTTACAACTTACAAAGTACTTTGTATACAGTCATCTCACTGAATCTTCACAACAACCCTGTAAGGTGGGTATTCTAGGTATTGTTCAGACTTGCCTGACTCTTCCTTTTGAGGTTTTCTTGGCAAAGATACTGGAGTGGTTTGCCGTTTCCTTCTCCAGCTCATTTTACAGATGAGGAAACTGAGGCTAACAAGGTTAAGGGACTTACTCAGGGTCATGCAGCTAGTTTCTGAGGCTGGGTTTGAACTTGAGAAGATGGGTCTTCCTGACTAGCACTCTATGTACTGTGGCGCTACCTAGCTGCCTTATTCTAGGTATTATCCTATTATTACAAATGAGGAAACTGGGACTCAGAGGAGATGTGGGTTTTGAACTGTAAGCGTCCATAAAAGCAATCCAGCCCAACTGTCTCATTTTTATGAATGAGGAACCTGGACATCAGGGAGGTTAATCGTTTGCTTGAAGCCCAGTGTACCTTGACCATGTTCATTCACATAGCTACTAATTCTCATAAAATGTTATAGCCGGACAGAATCTTAGAATTCAGAACACAGGATGCTTGAGCAAGATGAGCCCTTTGAATATAGAATTTTGGAGCTGGAAGAAGACTCCAAGATCACCTACCTCAAACTTTTCAGTTTACATGCAGGGAAACTGAGGCCCAAAGTCATGAGGTGGTTTAGCTAAGGTCAGACAACAGAGCTGGGATTGGAACCCAGGCTACCTGATTCTAAGACCATATTTTAAAGTCTTTCCAAGTTTCATGTTCTAAGGTGTCTAAAGAGTACTGATTTAGAGTCCAGGGACCTGGGCCTGAATCTTAACTTTGCTACTTACTACCAGTATGAGCCTGAGTAAGTAACTTCCTCTCACTAGACCTCTAGTTTCCTCCCCTTATAAAATAAGGGCACGAGACCAGATAACCTCTAAACTCTTTTTTAAAGGCTTAAGTCCTATGACCTCCAGCTCTGGCTATCTAAGATGAGTCTATGAGGAAGTCCAAGTTCCTGCCAGGTTTTTGCCCCTGGCCTCAAGGCTCAGTGTCTCCTCCCACGTTCTCCCTGCCATCATTCCCTGGAGGAGCCTGGTTCCTGCCCAGTCCCACCAGACATCCAATGAACAGAGAAGACTCTTTCAGCCCAAAGGGATCCAATCCCTGAAGCCTGGGGACATTCCATTCATAAAGCCTAGGGACATTCCATGTCCTGGGCTGCTCCCTGAGAAACTGGAGACAGTCACTATTGTTCCAGAAGAACCCTGGAGACCAGGGACAAAGTGCTACACATATGTTGTTGTTTAGTCATTTCAGTTGTGTCCAACTCTTACTGACCCCATTTGGGGTTTTCTTGGCAGAGATGAACTTCTCCAGTTCATTTTACAGATGAGGAAACTGAGGCAAACAGGGTTAAGTGACTTGTCCAGGGTCACACAGCTAGTAAGTATCTGAGGACCAGATCTGAACTCAGGTTTTGTTGACTTCAGGCCCAGTGCTCCATCCGCTACACCACCTAGCCACACATGTAGTCTTCAGCAAAGGGTCATGGGGGACTCAGGGCTGTCCTGAAGAGTGAATGAATGGGGATGGTCTGAGGTTTGGCTGTTTTTATCTGTCTTTGCATCTTTCTTGTCCTGCTTATCATTCCCTTCCCCCCAGTAATTTATTG